ACAAAAGAAAGGATTTACGTGAGAGAAAAGAAAAGATAATGGTGAATGGAAGTGATTTTGCAAATGGTTGGGGCAAATTAGTATTTTGTCAATTGATTGTGGCAGATTTTGAAAGAAGAAAATTAAATGGTAGATTGGAAAAGAAATTTGAGAATAAATGGCATTTCTTGTAAAATTCTCAAACATCTAACACGTTTTTTCTGCCACACGTCCCTATCACCTTGTCTCTGTCATCTACTTCTGTGGTCCAAAAATCTGACGCATCTTCCTCTTTGTTCGTCGGAACCATGGGCAAAACTTCCCCCTAAATCTTTGCATTTAATTTTTTTTGTGTTAAATGTCATGTCAATCTCACCAACTCAATGCATCAGACAAATTGTCTCCGGCCATACGGCCTTGTCACCTTGTCTTTGACATCTATTTTTGTGGATCAAATGTGTGACGCAGATTCCTCTTCGTCCATCAGAATCAGGGGCAAAACGGTCCCCTAAATCTTTGCATTTAATTCTTTGTATTTAATGTCATATCAATCTCACCAACTCAAAACATCTAACAAGTTTTCTTATGCCACACATCCCTTCCACCTTATCTCTATCATCTATTTTTGTGGAACAAACGTCTACGCAACTTTCTCTATGTCCGCTAGGATCAGGGGCAAAATAGTCTCCCTTTGCATTTAATTATTTGTATTTAATGTCATGTCAATCTCACCAACTCAAAGCATCTAACAAGTTTTAACCTGCCACACGTCTCCATCACCTTGTCTCTATCATCTAATTCTGTGGACCAAACGTCCGACACAACTTCATTTTCGTTCATCTGGACCAAGGGCAAAATTGTCCCCTAAATCTTTACATTTAATTCTTTGTATTTAATGTAATGTCAATTTCACAAACTCAAAGTATCTAACATGTTTTCTCTTGCCACGTCTTCATTTTCGTTCATCGGCACCAGAGCCAAAACGGTCCCTAAGTCTTTACATTTAATTCTTTGTATTTAATGTAATGTCAATTTCACCAATTCAAAACATCTAGCATGTTTTCTTTTGCCACATGTCCATGTCACTTTGTCTTCATCATCTACTTCTGTGAACCAAACGTCTGATGCAATTTCTTTTTCGTTCGTCGGAATCAGAGACAAAACGATGTTTAAGTCTTTTGTATAGTATAATTGTGCTAGATTGAAAAAGTTTTTTTTTTAATTTATGATTAAAATTTTTTTAAAAAATAAAGAAAAACGGTAAATTAGAAAAGAATCCCAAAATATAATGGAATAGAAATTACAATGGAACAGAAATTACAAAATAATTATGTTTGGCTTCCGTTATGACATTTGAATATCTAGAGAAATTTCAAAAAATGCCACTTTTCAAGTGCCATTTTTCAAAAATGTCACACTTTTGAAATTTTTACAAAAATGCCACTTTTTCAAAATTATTTTTTCTTTATATTATTTATGTTTGGGTTAATTATGTTATATTAGGATTATAGTTATGAGGGTTTAGGGGGTTTAGGGGGTTTAGGAGTCAAAATATTTTTTAGTGTTTAGAATTTTAAGATATAGGGTTTAAAAATCTATAATTAATGGCATTTTTGCAATTGAACACCGCTAAGTGGCATTTTTACAAATATGCAAATAAAAAGTGACATTTTTGCAATTTCTCCTTGAATCTAACTCAAAAGTTTATACGTTTTCTTTCGAAGAACCAATTATTGATAAACTCTTCAAACAGTTAATGTAAAGTTGTTAGTTATGTTCATCCAAAAAAAGGGAATCATTAATTTACCAATTTTCGGCATATTATGTACAGTTAATGTGAAGAACCAATTAGTG